AATTTTTCTAGCCCTGATGATAATGAGCAATTTGTAGATGTATTTTCCAGATAGACAAGGAGGTGCAGTAGAATTTTTAAAAAATATCTTCAACTTTTATTTTAGATTCAGGAGTACATGTGCATACATGGGTGTGTTGTGTGAGGCTGAGATTTGGGGTATGATTGAACCTGTCACCCAGGAAGTGGGCAGAGTACTCAGCAGTTAGTTTTTCAGCCCACATCCCCTTTCCCCTTGTTAGTCCACCGTGTCTATCATTACCATCTTTACGTCCATGAGTACCCAACGTTTAGCTCCCACTTATAAGTGAGAACATGCGGTACTTGGTTTTCCATTTCTGTGTTCATTCAGTAGGATTATGGCCTCCAGCTGCATCCATGCTGCTGCAGAGGACATGATCTAATTCTTCTTTATGGCCGTGGTAGGATATTTTTGAACTATGAATGATAAATAGATTTGATATATTCATTAATTTAATTACTGCATGTTAAAGTATTCATATTTTTGCCTCTACTCTGTTCCCAGCCATAGAAACAGCATTTTTCCTGCTTCCCTGACTAGACAAAGATGCTGTGGCTGGGAATGATGGGGAAGAGGGGAGACGCTGCTATGGGTCTCTAAGGGGAGGCCCGAGCCAGCTCTTTTCTGACCTGATGGGGATGGGGGATTGGGGAAAGAGAAAACTCAGGATATACAGGGTCTGCCTTTTGTCCCCAAAGGATCCCAGAAAAGTGCTGAATGTCTGAGACTCTCTTTGCTTTAGTGTGAGAGTTGAGAAGAAGCATTTTAGCATAGCAAATGAGGGCGGAAAGGGCATAAGAGAGTTCTGTGAGTCTCCTATAGCCTAGAGCGGCCAGGAGTGAATCCACCCTTGTTCAAGATGGCACAGAAGTATCACAAAGAGGCCTGGCAGATTAGGAGATGCTTCGTATTGGGAAGGGGTGGCCCAAGAGCAGATGTCAGCACTGTCCTTGCATCAAAGGCCAGATGGGAACTCAGTTGCCTTCGTAGATGCCAGCAGGGATAGATGCTGACAATTCATGACTCCTGGGAACAAGGATACGGCAGAGGATGCCAGCGTGGACAGATGACAGCCCAGGACCAGATGAGCCCCCTCCATGTCCAGATGTTCTATCAGTCTCTCCCCACCTCCCAGGGCAAGTGGGGAGGGAGAAAAACCCTGACTGGGCAGAGTTTACCGGGAATTGACTTGCTTCCAGTTATTCCATCAAGTACACTGGGGGCTCAAGATATGATAGAACTTAGTCATGAAAAATAGAGATTTTTACATTTTTGCATACCCGAGCTGTTTCCAGAAATGTATGACCACTGCAAAGGTAAGGCTCAATTGAGACACAAGAAGAGAACTTTACTGAAAGCATGACCAGAAATGTTTTCACTCTGGGGTGAGAAAAAGGCTCAACTTAAAAAGGGATTCTGTGGAAAAATTTGCAGACAGGAAAAGAGAGCAGTGGGATTATTTTCTCTTTGCTATGTAGATGAAAATTTTGGTGAAACTTGCAGCTGTTGACAGAAAAATGTAGCAGAGTGGCAATATGTCACTCCTTGTCAATAGACTATCTTGATGCTTTAGAAAGCACAGCCTGCAGTATGCATCCCAGATTCATAGCAATACAGTGAGTCTACAGGAGAAATAGGTACCTGCACATCCCTAATGTTCTGGTGCCCCCATGTCTGTTCAGATGCAGATAACTAAGCTCAGCATTACAGAAAGTTTAGAGAGAAGGATTGACCACATGTGTATGCCAAAAAAGGTATATTTATTAAAAGCAGAAGTTCTCAGTTCTGGCTGCTCATTAAGAATCATCTGAGGAGCTTTTAAAAATGTTAAGCCTCACATTCCCCGCACCCTACCTCATCTCTAAGGCTCTAGTTTAATCATTCTGAATTGATATGCAATTGTGGGATGCTAGAGAGCCAGGGAAGACAGGAAAGTTGACTTTGTATTTCTGTGCAGTATCAGCTTGCATCTTCCTATGGAATACACTGTTAGTTGTCCTTTTATATTAGTAAGAGACCTTCTAATTTTTAGTTGGGTGCATGACCAATTAAAATAAAAGCTTTATTTCCCAGTGTCTTTTGCAATGAGGTCTGGTCACTTGATTAAATTATCCTGCCTCCACTTGCCTTTTCACTGAGAATTTGGGGTATATTTGGTTATGAGTAGCAGAAAATCTGGCTCATGATGGTTCAACAATAGGGGTTCATTCTTCTCCCATAACAATAGGCCAGGGGGCTGGCAGTCCAGGGCTGAAGCAGCAGCTCAAAGATGTCATCAAATCCCAGGCTCTTCCTATACTTGCATGCTTCCATTCTTAGCACAGTGGCTCCTCGCATCATGGTACTTAACAAAATGGTTGTTACAGCTCAAAGTGTCATGTTCTCGTTTAAGACAGGAAGAAGATCGGAGGGCTGGATCCAGCAGTATCTCTCCATTTCATTATTAAGAAAAGCAAAAGCTGCCATAGAATCTTCCTAGCAGACATTCACATATATCTCATTGGCTAGAGCCGTGTGTTTTGGCCACCCTCAGCCACAAGAGATGCTGCAAATGAATATTTAGGTATCCTGGTCTCCACACTGGAAACCGTCAAGGGAAAAGGGAATGGGAATGGATGTTAGGTCTGTTGTGCCAGACTCCTATCAACTCCAGTAGGGATGGCACCAGGTTCAAGAGGCCAAAGAAGAGACCCAGAGTCAGCAAACGAGACATGGGGTTTATTGAGTGTAACTCACACACGGGGATGGTCCAGTGGCAGCAGCCTGGACAGAAGAATGGCATGGCTCAGTGGCAGTGGGCTGTATAGGAAAACCGCAACCACTTGCAAAAAGCATGCAGTTTATATAGCATTTTCACGTAGGACTCTACCCCTAGCAACCTCCACCTGGCAACCTTCATTTAACCCAAAATAAAGGGCCTCAATCCCCCTCATCACCTTCTACAGGATGGGGCGGGGGTTCAGATGTTCCTTGTAGATAAGGAATGAATCTCCCAGTTGGCCGCTCCCAGATTTATTAGCACAGATCTGCAAACATACATTCAAGTGCATCTGCCATACAGGGTCATTCTCAGAGTATGCTTAAGTAATTGCTGTCAAATGCGTCTGCTATACAGGGTCATCCAGTCAACAATGTCCATCATATTCACCTATGTCTAATCTATCATCATTCCTGCTCATTTCCCTTTGTAGAGCAGCTTTTGAATCTCCACAACCACTTCCCTAATTCAAAACCACATCATCTATAGCCTCCTTTTCTGCAAAAAATCTCCAAAGAGATCCCTGTGTGTCATGTACATTTACCGAAGTATTCGAGAATATTTAATTCTACTATAAAAGACAAACGAAGATGGATGCAACTCATAAGAAGTATGAAACAAGCATTGCTCAGTAGGTAATCAAAGAGCTTATGAGATATAGACAAAACTCATAGGATGTGTAAAGTATGATTAATGATTAATTAAGTACCATGTGAGATATAATTTGTAAGATGTGTTAAATATAGATAGCAAGTTATTAACTGTAAGACTTGCCAACAATACACAGAATAAATGAAAAATATGGTGTACCAACCAAGAGAGTTGCTTACAGATAGAGAGGATTATGTTCTCACTGGGCTGACAGTTATGCTATCTCTAAATCAGCCACCCAGTACTGACACCCAGTATGATTAGGATTCCTGTCTGGTCCTACATGTGCTTTGTCCAAGAATTGTAGACAAAAATTGTAGCTGTTCACTGAACTATTTGGAAAACTATAGCTGTGGCCAGGTGCACTTGCTCTGCATTCTTTCAGTAGAGTGATTGTGTGTCTTTGGCCTTGGGCGTCTTCTGTCAGTGAGCCCATACTCAAATCTCAACTCTAGTCCTCATAACCACATCACCAACAGTGGAGAAGGATGATGGGGCAGGGCAGGGGTTGGGGAGTTGGGAGAGAGAGTACACATATGAACAAGTCCTAAGAAGCATGGTCTTGGCCAGGCACAGTGGCTTATACCTGTAATCCCAGCACTTTGGGAGGCCGAGGCAGGTGGGTTGCTTGAGACCAGGAGTTCAAAACCACCTGGCTCACATGGCAAAACCCCATTTCTACAAAAAATTATCTGGGTGTGGTGGCAGGCACCTGTAATCCCAGCTTCTTGGGAGATGGAGGTACGAGAATTGCTTGAACCTGGGAAACGGAGGTTGTAGTTAGCCAAGATAGCACCACTGCACTCCAGCCTGGGTGACAGAACAAGACTCTGTTAAAAAAAAAAAAAAAAAAAGTCACTTCACCTTCTCATACCCTATCCTAAGTGTTTTAACACTCTGTTTACTTCGTCTTGCTTTTCACTTTGTGTTTTGAACTGATTTAATGAACTGTGTAGCTTGAGTATTAATTTACAAAGAGTTCATTTGCTCTGTGCATTTTCTGTTGCATGGCATAGCTCTGTTTCTGGGGTAGTTCTAGTTGTGTACTTGGAGGTTACATTGCATCAAAGTCATTTTCCACACAAACTATTCCTTTGTGTTTGCCCATGTCAATGCACCCTCCACACACTGCCATGAGAGTGATCTTTTAAAATTGCAGATATGATCAGGGTTAACCCCCTGTTTCAAAGCTTTCAGCCACTCACCATTGCCATGAGGGTACATCAATCTCTCCAGCATCGAGTTGCAGGTTGGGATCCTTGAGGAGCACCCTGAGGTGCAGATTATCATGTAGAAAAAGCATTAGGGAGTATTATTTGGAGTCTTGATATATCTCAGCCCTCCAACATTGGCCAGTTATTAGAGGTAGGTTGCCCCTGGGAAGGGGGCATGTGGCCTTGGGAGAGGTAGCTTTCTGCAGCTGAGGGCAATTTGTGGGCAGTAGCAGCTCTGGAATAAGTTCTTCAGCCCTGCAGGGGATCTGGGCAGTGCAACACAGTCCTGCAAGACTTTACATCAGTGGTCACTGCCATTCTCTCCATCTCATGGCTTGCTTTTTCTTCCATTACAGGCGAATCTACTGAGAAGTGATTGTTATTGTCCAAACCCACTATGCTCTTCCTCCTGACTGCTTTGTGCATGCCGCATCTCCTGCTGGATGTTCTCTGCCCACTGCTTGCACCCCTTATGCCAATTCCGGACCCGCAGCTTCTTGGATCACACCTCTCATTCAAACCACCTAGTCCTTCTGCAGAGTAGGTTGGCCCTGCTCCAATTTCCTCTCTCACCCTGCAGCTCTGAACTGACTGGCTGGCTTGTGGGCAGAATGGGTTGAAGCCCTGCGTGAGGTACAGATGATGAATGCTTGGAAAGGAGGGAGTCAAAGGCAAATTGTGCTCCACATTTCAAAATGTCTTCTTTCTCTGCACATCTTGTTTTCCTTTTACCCTGCCCTGACATGTCACTGCAAAGCCAGTAATGAGAAACCTGGATTCATTTTGTACCAGAAGACTGCACACTGTAGCTCTAAATTGTGCTTTAAAATTTTAAAAGCAGGCTAAATCGAAAAACACATAGGGAGCATTTTGAAGATGCCCTGCAGCTGGATTTGTTTTATGCTAGAGCAATTTTGCTGCCTGACTGCTTCCTGCTGAAAGCACAGAGGATGTGCTGAAATGTTGCCACTGTAAACAAAACTAGATCAGGCAGAAGCCTCTCCCGCACCCACAGACCTACCTTGTAAATTGCTGGCAGCAGTGTTACTTGACAGGCACAGTGCTAGGAAGCAAGTGGCTTCAGAAATAAGAATTGAAAGGGAGGGATTCCTCACAACAAGCGTGTGAAATGCTAGTACTGGAAAGGGCTCTAGAAATCATCTAGTCCAGCTCTCATAATTTATAATTGAGGAAACTGAGGCCAGGAAGGTTAAGTTAGTTATCCTAGGTCACATGACTTATGAGTGGCAGCCTGAATTAAAACTGGCATTTCTTAGCTCCTAGTCTAATCTTTATTCTGTTACATCATATTCAAGTTCATGAATTCACCTAATGTTTTGTTTTTGCCTTTGTGCATTGCAGAGATAACATGTAATTCCCATAACCAAAGTAACTACAGTATCTGACTGCATATTGGCTTTCGCTATTGGTTCAGTCACTGAGAGGAACAGTTAACAAATCCACTAATTAGCCTGTTGTGTTCACTACTCTCCTCAAGGCTAATTACTTGTTTAATTAAGGCGTTCTGCCTTGACCATAAATGCTATCACATAAAATATTTGATGAATCTTGACTGTGCTGTGACGATCCAACATATATGTATGAAGTGCTTTCATTAGAACTTAAGAAAACTAAACAACTAATTAGCTTTGAGATGTTTAAAGTTTAAACAGCAAATTCATAAATTTTAGAATTAGTGTCTATTTTATGCATTAGTGCACACATGTATGAAAAACCATAAGGGAATTGAATTATTTGTAGAAATCATGATTTACTGTTTCTTTATGATTTTCTGGGTAAAGGCTTTAACGTGCCATTGAGTTAAAGCAATTCATTTGGCATTTACTATTAATACTGCTTTGTGTTCCTACAACACCTTTTCCTCTCTGAAGCTCAAAGTGCTTAATACATATCAACTCAGTAATCCTCACTACAGTAAAGCCAGGGAGAGTAGATGGCAAATATAATCCTTGTGATACAGAAAGCTGAAAGTCAGCTTGAAAAATTCAATGTGCAATTGACTTGCATGTTGAATATATTATCACAGTATTTGTGTGCTGGGTGAAAATTGTTGTCTAACCTGTATGTGGCTAGTTACTTGCTTCTGGGCATCTTTTCAATTGAGAGAAAAGGATATACTAACAATAATTTAGGATATTGCTGAATTTAAAAACACCAAATTGCAAATGACATAGGTTAGCATGGGTTTAATTTTCTCAGAATATCCTTGGCAGTAGTTAAAACAGCAGCAGAAGAATTGTATACATAGAATAAACAAGCCAATAATAATCCTAATTGTCACTTACTGAGCTCCTCTGCATAAGACTCAGTGCTGAATATTTTGCACATGTTTCTCTAATCCTCACAAGAACTCTGCAAGATGTACATAATTATACCTCTTTCACAAATCAGGAATATGTAGTTATGAGGATTTAAGGCGTATCATCAAAAGTGGTGGCACTAGTTAAGGGAACTCCAGCCCAGATTCACAGTTCAGAAGCATTCTTTTCCCCTTCGTTTTTGTTCTCTGTCCCACATCACCCCCTTCTCTTCATTCATCCAACAAATGTTTATTGAGCACTTAATTATTTCCTGCCCTCATGGAACTTAACTTTCTAGGTCAAAGCCTGCGTTTCTACAAGGAGGTGGTAAGAAACAGAGTAAAATTAGGTATGAGCTGATATACCCGGGCAAAGAAAACCAAAAGCACAAATAAAAGAGAGAGATCATCTAACCAAATATTGATTCCAAGGTTGAACAGTATTATACTTTTCACTTCTCCTTAATAATTTTATTTTGGTCATTTTGGTGTAAACCCAGCACCAAGCACCTCACTGTGGAAAGGAGGAGTACAGTTTGTAACAAAACGGCATGGCTGTCAGCCAGTAAAACATATCATGGAATCTTAGGGAATGTAAAGGGCTCAGGTGAAATATTCCAACCCATACTGAATCTCCATGCTGGTAGAGATTAAGCAGTGGCCTAACCAGTCTGTTCACTGTGTCTCCATTTCTCCTCACCTGGTCCACAGAGCACTCTCCTAATCAGTTATAGTGTCTCCATACATTTCAGAATTCATGGAACCACAGAATGTGGCCTTATTTGGAAATAGGGTTGCTACAAATGTAGTCAAGGTAAGGACTGAGATGAGATAATCCTGGGTTAGGATGGGCCCTAAATCCAATCAGAATTTCCCGTAGGAGACAGAAAAGGTTACAGACTGTGAAGAAGGCTATGGGCAGACAGAGGCAGAGATTGATGATGGTGCCACCAGCCGAGGAACACCAGGAGCCATGAGAAGCTGGAATAAGCAAAAACACTTTCCTAATTCCCAGTGATTTCCTTGGTCCCATAATCCCCTTCCTCACTCCCAGTTTACGTTAATATGAGATCAGAGTTTCTATTGCAGGAAGGATTTAGCCATTTGGTTGGAAGGGGAACTTTGGGTGCTTGTTTGAAACTATGCAGACGTACTGTTTGTACTGTGGTGTCAGAGGCAGGCGAGAGGATAGGGAGCTCTAGTCACTACTACTCCAAGCACTCCACAGCCTTGCCACAGGGGGTGCTATTTTTCAGAGTAAATAATGGGTGGGATTTTTCAGGGTAATTAGCCCTTTACACAAAAAAGACAGTACCTCATTACCTATTTCTTCTCACTGTCTCTTTTTTTAAATTATACTTTAAGTTCTGGGATACATGTACAGAATGTGCAGGTGTGTTACAAAGGTATACATGTGCCATGGTGGTTTGCTGTAGCCATCAACATGTAATCTACATTAGGTATTTCTCCTAATACTATGCCTCCCCTAGCCCCCCACACCCCGACAGGCCCCAGTGTGTGATGTTCCCCTCCCTTTGTTCAAGTGATCTCATTGTTCAACTCCCACTTACAGTGAGAACATGCAGTGTTTGGTTTTCTGTTCCTGTGTTAGTTAGTTACTGAGACTGATGGTTTCCAGCTTCATCCATGTCCCTGCAAAGGACATGAACCCATCCTTTTTATGGCTGCATAGTATTCCATGGCATATATGTGCCACATTTTCTTTATCCAGTCTATCATTGATGGGCATTTGGGTTGGTTCCAAGTCTTTGCTATTGTGAACAGTGCCACAATAAACATACGTGTGCATGTGTCTTTATAGTAGAATTATTTATAATCCATTGGGTATATACCTAGTAATGAGACTGCTTGGTGAAATGGTATTTCTGGTTCTAGATCCTTGAGGAATCACCACACTGTCTTCCACAGTGGTTGAACTAATTTACACTCTACCAACAATGTAAAAGCATTCCGATTTCTCCACATCCTCTCCAGCATCTATTGTTTCTTGACTTTTTAATGACTGCCATTCTAACTGATGTGAGATGGTATCTCACTGTGGTTTTGATTTGCATTTCTCTAATGACCAGTGATGATGAGCATTTTTTCATATGTTTGTTGGCTGCATAAATGTCTTCTTTTGAGAAGTGTCTGTTCATATCCTTTTCTAAATATACAGTCATGTCATCTGCAAACAGAGACAATTTGACTTCCTCTTTTCCTAATTGAATACCCTTTATTTCTTTCTCTTGCCTAATTGCCCTGGCCAGAACTTCCAATACTATGTTGAATAGGAGTGGTGAGAGAGGGCATGCTTGTCTTGTGCCAGTTTTCAAAGGGAATGCTTGCAACTTTTGCCCATTCTGTATTATATTGGCTGTGGGTTTGTCATAAATAGCTCTTATTATTTTGAGATATGTTCTATCAATACCTAGTTTTCTTGAGAGTTTTTAGCATGAAGCACTGTTAAATTTTATCAAAGACCTTTTGTGCATCTATTAAGATATTCAAGTGGTTTTTGTCATTGGTTCTGTTTAAGTGATATATTGCATTTATTGATTTGCATATGTTGAACCAGCTTGCATCCCAGGGATGAAGCCAACTTGGTCGTGGTGGATAAGCTTTTTGATGCGCTACTGGATTCAGTTTGCCAGTATTTTATTGAGGATATTGGTCTGAAATTTTCTTTTTTTGTTGTGTCTCTGCCAGGTTTTGGTATCAGGATGATGCTGGCCTCATAAAATCAGTTAAGGAGGATTCCCTCTTTTTCTATTGTTTGGAATAGTTTTAGAAGGAATGGTACCAGGTCCTCTTTGTATCTCTGGTAGAATTCGGCTGTGAATTCATCTGGTCCTGGACTTTTTTGGTTGGTAGGCTATTAATAGTTGCCTCAACTTCAGAACTTGTTATTGGTCTATTCAGGGATTCAACTTATTCCTGATTTGGTCTTGGGAGGGTATATGTGTCCAGGAACTTATCCATTTCTTCTAGAGTTTTTAATTTATTTGCATAGAGGTCTTTATAGTACTCTCTGATGGTAGTTTCTATTTCTGTGGGACTGGTGGTGGTATCCCCTTTATCATTTTTTATTGCATCTATTTGATTCTTCTCTCTTTTCTTCTTTATTAGTCTTGCTAGTGGTCTATCAATTTTGTTGATCTTTTCAAAAAACCAGCTCCTGGATTCATTGATTTTTTTGAAGGGTTTTTCATGTCTCTATCTCTTTCAGTTCTGCTCTGATCTTAGTTATTTCTTGCCTTCTGCTAGCTTTTAATTTGTTTGCTCTTGCTTCTCTAGTTCTTTTAATTGTGATGTTAGGGTGTTGATTTTAGATCTTTCTTGTTTTCTCTTGTGGGCATTTAGTGCTGTAAATTTCCCCCTACACACTGCTTTAAATGTGTCCCAGAGATTCTGGTACATTGTGTCTTTTTTCTCATTGGTTTCAAAGAACATCTTTATTTCTGCCTTTATTTCGTTGTTTACCCATTAGTCATTCAGGAGCAGGTTGTTCAGTTTCCATGTAGTTGTGTGGTTTTGAGTGAGTTTCTCAATCCTGAGTTCTAATTTGATTGCACTGTGGTCTGAGAGACTGTTAGGATTTCCATTCTTTTGCATTTGATGAGGAGTGTTTTACTTCTAATTATGTAGTCCATTTTAGAATGAGTGCAATGTAGTGCTGAGAAGAATGTATATTCTGTTGATTTGGGGTGGAGAGTTCTGTAGACGTCTATTAGTTTCACTTGGTCCAAAGCTGAGTTCAAGTCCTGGATATTCTGCTAATTTTCTGTCTCGTTGATCTTATATTGACAGTGGGGTGTTAACTCCCCACTACTAACACTATTATTGTGTTGGAGTCTAAGTCTCTTTGTAGGCCTCTAAGAACTTGCTTTATGAATCTGGGTGCTCCTGCTTTGGGTGCATATATATTTAGGAGAGTTAGCTTTTCTTGTTTTGTTGATCCCTTTACCATTATGTAATGGCCTTCTTTGTCTCTTTTGATCTTTGTTGGTTTAGAGTCTTTTTTTATCAGAGACTAGGATTGAAACCCCTGATTTTTTTTGCTGTCCATTTGCTTGGTAAATATTTCTCCATCCCTTTGTTTTGAGCCTATGTGTGTCTTCACATGTGAGGCGGATCTCCTGAATACAGCACACCAATGGGTCTTGACTCTTTATCCAATTTGCCAGTCAGTGTCTTTTAATTGCTACATTTAGCCCATTTACATTCAAGATTAACATTCTTATGTGTAAATCTGATCTTGCCATTATGATGCTAGCTGGTTACTTTGGCCATTAGTTGATGCAGTTTCTTCATAGCGTCAATG